ATTTTTTTTCTATTATTTTTTGTGTGTATACCGTCAAATTGGATTTGACTGGTACAGGAGGAGATTGCCCCTCCTTCTCCAGCAGAGCATCTGGTGTATATATGAAATTTTCTTAAATAACAATCAAGATAAATATTAATCCATTTCTTATGGGAGGAAATGAGAATCAGGACATTGATTTGCTGTGCCAAATATCAAACCCAGGCTCTATGCTGTATTTTTTTTTTAATTTATTCTTTTTATGTGTGTACCGTCAAATTGGATCTGACTGGTACAGGAGGAGATTGTCCCTCCTTCTTCAGCAGAGCATCTGGTGGATTTGAACCACACACCTCTGGGATTGCAGTGCAGTTTCCTACCACTAGGCCACCAGAGCTCGCCTCTATGCTGTATTTATTTCTATAGTCTATGTTTGCAATTACTTGTTTTGCTTCAGAGAGCAGGACAATGACTAAGGATGACAGAAGAATCGATGCCTTCCGGTTGTGGGGCTGGAGAAGAGTCTAGAGCATACCATGGAATGCCAGGAGAACAAATCAATCTGTCTTGGAGAGGGTGAAACCAAGTGTCTCCTTGGAGGCTAGGATTTTGAAGCTCTGTCTCACATACTTTGCACGTGGCCAAGAGAGATCGGTCCTTAGAAAAGGACATCATGCTTAGAAGGGTGGATGGACAGCACAGGAGAGGGAGACCCCAGATGAGATATATTTATAACAGTAACTGAGACAATGGGGGTTGGTGTGTCATACTTAGTGAGACTGGCTTAGGACAGGGAAGGGTTCAGAGCTGCTGTATGTAGGGTCCCTATGGGTTGCAGGCGACTCAATGGTACGTAACAACAACATATAATGATATTGGTTGTTTTTTATTTAAACCGCTGTTTAGAGTCATCAAGACCTCAGGGAGCACCATTGTATTTAAAAGTTTGTTGTTACTATATTTTGGAGGAACATTCTTCTAAGTGGTACAGCACTCTTCTGTTAATATGCTGTACTGAGGTAACCTGCGGTTGCTGTGATGCTGAACCTTGTGCCACTGGAGTGTCAGATGTCATAACGGTTATCCGTGGTAGACAGTGTTTGGTGGAGCTCCCAGTTTAAGATAAGTTTGGAAGCAGGAATGGCAGCCACTGCCTAAACATGCCTCTAAAAACTCTTTGAACTTGGAGAAATGACAATAGTTATAGAAATGGTTCAGGTCTTTTGTTCATAGGATCGCTATGAATTGTGCTCAACCAGCCTTGATGGCAATCGTAAACAATAATGTATAGACTATATGTATTTCTGTAATAATATGCTTCGTCAGAGCAGCTTGAACTTTGTCCTTCATCACCACTGCCTCTTGGTTATATATTGTTTCATGACATTCTTCTATGTCAGCCAATTCTTTTTGGTACAGTGACTTTAATTCTTCCATTTTCTTTTAATGCTTCCTGGATTCAACATTCTGCCCATAGCATCCTTAAGTATTGCAACTTGAGGCTTGACTTTGTTCTTTAGTTCCTTCAGCTTTAGAAATGCCAAGCAAGTTCAGCCCCTTTAATTTTCTGACTCCATCTCTTTGCACATTTCATTATAATACTTTGTTTTCCTGAGCCGCCCTTTGAAGTCTGTTCAGCTACTTAACTTGCTGCTTTCTTCCCTTTGCTTTGGCTTGTCAATGGGAATCCCAGATCACTTGATTGTGCTCATGTCAAACCTAGACGTGCACCAGAAAGCAGTCCTCAGAACAGAGCAAGGAAACACTGCACGGTTCAAAATCAGTAAAAGAGTGTGTCAGGGATGCATCCTGTCTCCAGGCCTCTGGAAACTCTATGAACTTGGAATTGACAATAGTTATTGAAAGGTATTAGATCTTTTGTTCATAGAGTCACTATGAGGCACACTTGACTCGACAGGAATCAACAACAACAACATATACAGTCACTAATGCAAGCTGTTTATTCAAGAAAAATTAAAAACAAACGACAATACTCTAAAAAATAAGCCCACATGTGAATTTAACAGGCAGCTGAGTCTTTTGGAGTTTCCTGTGCTTCCTAGAACACCTACGAGGAGGGTGAAGAGATCTTATGAAGTGAAGTGAATGATCTTTATGAAGGTAATGCGTAGTTGTGATGACCTTACAAGGATACTAGAGAAACAAGTTGAAAACTTTCAAATGATGTTAGGAACAAAGGCTTTGTCACCTGCTCACTCTTCCACCATGCCCACTGCCTGCCTGCCCAAGTCCAGTCCTGTCCGGACCACCTGCCCTCACTGCCTGTCTCTCCGCTAGTCCTGTCCGGACCACCTGCCCTCACTGCCTGTCTCTCCGCTAGTTCTTCCTTCCTGCAATCACCTGCTTATGCCTCTCCTGTACAGTGTACGTTGAAAGTATGTTAGAAGCAAGGAGACAGTAGCAAAAGGCCTGGATTTTAGTATCACAAAAACCTGAGTTTAAATCCTGCCTTTGTCACAACTAAGCAAACACAACTTGTACAATCATTTCCTCACATAGGCAGTGCTGTCCAACAGAACTTGCTGGTTGATGTTTTACCTGTGCACCGTCCACTGGTGGCCATCACTCACGTGACAAGGGTGCCCTGGTGGCCTGCTCCATTAGGGAGATGCACTGCAAGCGTAAACACAACTCTGACTCTCTGGTGGTTTGATTCCAGCAGCAGCCGCACAGAAGAATGATGGGACAATCTCTTGAGCTTTAAATGTAAAGCCAGATCCAATCTGATGGTTCACACACACAAAAAATAATTTAAAAAAGATTGGAGGTAGGCTCATCAACAACCTGCATTATGCAGATGACACAACCCTGCTTGCTGAAACTGAGGAGGTCCTGAAGCGCCTGCTGCAGAAGGTCAAGGATTGCAGCCTTCAATATGGATTGAGGCTCAACATCAAGAAGATATTCTCACCACTTTGCAGATTGGCAGCAGCACGATAGATGGTGAAGAGATTGAGACTGTTGACAACTTTAATTTGCTTGGCTCTATAGTCAACACTCCTGTTACCAACAGCCAGGAAATTAAAAGACAAATTACACTGGGAAAGTCTGCTTTCAGAGACCTCTCCAAAGTACTGAAGAGTAACTATGTCAGCCTGGAGAATAAGGTGTGCCTGATACAGGCTATGATCTTTGCCATTACTTGCTATACATCAGAGAGCAGGACAATGACTAGGGATGATAGGGGAGTTGATGCCTTTGAGCTGTGGTACTGGAGAAGAGTATTGAATATACTATAGACTGCTAGGAGTACAAACAAGTTCCTCCTGGAGAGGGGAAAGCCAGGGTGTTCCTTGGAGGCAAGGATTCTGAAGTTTCTTCTGACATATTTTGGACACGTTGTAAGGCAGGATCCGTCCTTGGAGAGGGATGTCATGCTTGAGAGGGTAGAGGGACAGTGCAGGAGAGGAAGACCCTCATGTCAGAGACAATAAGATTGACAAGGGTAGAGCAGAGTTTCGGGCGGTTGTACATAGGGTCGCTATGAGTCACAGGTGATTCAACGGCACATAACAATAACAACATTTAAATTGCAGCTTCTTGCCACTAGGCCACCAGCTGCCCTGTAGAAGGATAGGCAATCTGCTCCCATGCGATTACCTGCCTTTGAAAACATGCTGGAGGGTCAGCTATGGGTCGGTTCCAACTCTATGGTACACAACAACAACATTTAAATATCTTGACAATTACTTGCTATGCATCTGAGAGCTGGACAATAACTAAGGATGACAGAAAAAAATGATCAATGCCTTTGAGCTGTGGTGCTGGAGTACAGAATGGAACATAACCACAGCTGAATATACTGTGGACTATCAGGACAATAAACAGGTCTGTCCTAGAGGGGATGAAACAAGGCTGCTCCCTGGAGGCAAGGATTTTGAGGCTCTGTCTCATATACTTGGGGTACATGGCCAGGAGCGACCAGTTCTTGGAGAAGGACATCTTGCTTGGAAGGGTGGATGGACAGCGCAGGAGAGGAAGACCCCCAGATGAGATGGGGGGGTCTCATCTCAGTCACTCAGTAACTGGAGAAATGGGATTAGGTCTGTCAGTGATGATGAGATTGGTAATGTACATAGTGTCACTCAATTTGATGGCACATAACAACAACATTTAAAAAAAATTAGATTCTTGGTGTTTCCAAATGAAAAAATGTTATTTCCTTTTTCAAGGTAAATCCATTGCATGATTATGTACCAATTGCTCTCCTCTATCAAGACCACCTATCTATACAGGTTAAAAGTATACGAAGACTCATTAGTTTTAAAAACACACACAGTAGTGGCACTATGCAGTATCTGTCCTTTTGTGACTGAGATATTTCACTCCGCATAATGTCTTACTGGGGGTCGTGGGAGACTGAGAAAGATAGGGTAAATAATGTATACTGCATTGAAACAGATGAGGGAGAGAACTGTTTAAAAGGAATATGTGATTAGGTATTATTGTCATGACAGGAGTCCAGAATGAAGGCTGCACAGTGGAGTGAAGTTGGGAGGAAGGACTGTATAAAAATGAAAGAATTTTTATTTTACTTTTCAAAGAGAAGAATGAAGTGGGCCATGGTGGGGGGGAAGTTGGGCAGGGGAAAAATGCAACAATGAATGAATGGAAATCCAAAGTCTCTGTAAACTTTCATTAAAATTAATTAATAAAAAAAGAAATTTAAATTTAAAAAGAACATTAACAGCACTCATTTTCTTTTCTAGTATTTATTGTATTAAAGGTGACTCTTGTAAAATTACAGTAGTGGTTTTGGTCCCTGACTTATTTCTCATTTGGTGTTCAAACATTTTACACTATTTATAAATTGCTATTTTTAGGATTGTACATCATTAGGTCATTAGGGATTTTCTCCCCCCTTACTCTTGAGGCTCAAATGCTTAAAAAATATAAACAGCACAGAGAACATGCACCAAGAAGCACACGCTGAACATACTTCATTTCAAAGTCCCCAAGTCCTGATCATGACTTCTTGGTTAAAGTTCAGTAATCTGAAGTCACGCAAGAACTTCTGAGATCTCTCTGTTATCCACAACGAGAGTGTGGATAATCCCTTCTTTTCGCTTCCCACTGCTGACGGCCTTGATGTAACAGTCATGGTTCCTGATACTGAAGTGAGTTTCAGTTCCATCATCCACAAACTCACCCTGGAGGAGAAGAAGCAAACAGCGTTAGTGTTCCAGACAGGGTTCTCTTCGCCTGAGCACCAGCATCATTTGAAAGTACTAGTAGGACAATAGAATACATTCTAGTCAAAAGGTCGAAGAAAGATGGGCGGTCTCCTCCTGTGTGATTTACTGCCTCTGAAAACCCACTGGAGGGTCAGCTGTGCATTGGTTCTGACTTGATGGCACAAAACAACAATTAAAAAGCATGCTTTGCACAACTGAAATCTGAAGCTGGACCAAAGACAACACTAGTAGGTTGACTGATAGAAAAGATCGAAGTTGGGGAGGGGGAGGTAGAGAAAATAGAGCAACAATGAATGAATGGAAATCCAAAATCTCTGTAAATGTTCATTAAAATGAATAAAATTTAAGTTAAAAAAAAAAGATCAAAGTTGTTAACTCATTGTACTTGAATCCACAATCAACACCTATGTTAACAGCAGGCAAGAGATCAAGAGCTGTGTTGCACTGAGAAAGTCTGCTGTCAGGGACTGCTCCAAAGTGCTAGCGAGCAACGGTGTCAGCGTAAGGTTCAGGTGTGCTTGATCTTTTAAATTACTTCCTGTGCATCTGAAAGTTAGACAACTAACCAGGATGACAGGAGAAGAATTGATGCCTTTGAGCTGTCATGTTAGAAATACAGAGTATCCCTTGGACTGTTTAAAGATAAGTAAGCCTGTCTTGGCAGAAGTGCAATGAGGGTGTTCTCGGAGGCCAGGATGCTGAAAGCTCGTCACCTGTGCTTTGGGCTATCCAGGGAGACCCATCCTGGGAGAGATACATCAGGCTGGGAACGGTGGAGGGTCAGAGGAGGAGAGGAAGAGCCCCGACGACATGACGGACACAGAGGCTGTAACAAGGGGCTTGAGCACATCAGACGAGGCGACAGTGCTACAGGATAGGGCACGCTTCAGATCTGATGTTCAGAGGGTCGCTAAAGTCAGAGATGAGTCAATGGCACCTAACAACACGACAACCTGCCTGCCTATCTTCATTCTATCTGTTTTTGTGTGTTATTTGTTTGTATTTTTAAGCAGCAGTGGGTGGAAACCCCCATACAACCCACTTTTAGAAAAGTAGCTATCTACTTTGAACATATTTTGTAAAGCTTTCCTCTTCAAGGGCGCGCGGGTGGTCTCTAGTGGCAGGAAGCTGCGCTGCGATCCCAGAGGCACGTGGTTCGAGGCCACCAGTGGCACCACGGGAGAGGGTGGGCACTCTCTCCCTGTGTGATTAAGTGCCTCTGAAAACCTGCTGGAGAGTCAGCTAAGGGTCCCTTCCAACTCTACGGTACACAACAACTACAACAACAACTTCAAAGTGTGGCCCAAGAACTAATCACACATGGGCACCATCTCCTGCGAAAATGGGAGAATCAGGATTTGCATGTTAACAACTTCTCTAGGTCATTTCTAGGCACTTGAGCCTGGGAAGCCGTGGTACAGAGCTGCATTTACACAAACATAAGAGGATGTCAGTATCCAGGGGAGGTGATTTTTTTTTTAACTTGGGGTTCTTTTCAGGATGGAGAAATGTATTAGCTTGGTACCAGCTTATAGTTTGTTTCTAATCATTCACTGCCCCAGAAAATGTCTAAGAAAGATCTTAAAATTTTACAAGTCTAGGACTTTATTAAGTCTAGGACTTAATAATGCTTCTACTTTTAACCAAAAGGACTTTGGTTATTAACAATACAATCTCCATTATTTGGAAACACAGCCACAGTTCAGTGATGACTTCCACTTAGGGCTTAAGAGAAATCAATGTGTCAACTTACTGCTGTCTCCATTTTCTTGCCATTGCACCAGACATCCATTGTGTCTTTTTCTGTAAAAACAACAGTGAAACAAATCATAAATGCTATGGTTTAACTATAAAACTAATTCTTTCTACCTGTATTTGTTATTTTAAGAAAAGTTTGACACATTTGCTTCCTAAAACGTCATTGGTATTCCAAAACTCAACATTATTTTCATGTCTTTGAAGTTCTAATAAAATTTGAAGACAAAATTCATGTATTAATTCTTTTTTCAATTTAACTATTTTTATTTTCTATTTATTTGCATGCAAAACTCATATACATTGTGTTTTGTTTATATACATTGTGTCTCACACATTCCTTTACTCACATTGTATTTCATAAGATCATTCCCTCCACGTGTTAACTCTTGATTCATAAACAAAATAAAAATGAAAACAATGGAGTCATATAATCTGTGGCCTTTCAGGACCAGTTTCTTCCACTTAGCGCATAGTTTCCAGGGTTCGTCTGTGTCGTAACAGTGGACCAGGACTTCATTCATTTTTATGGCTGATCGCTATTCATTTTTATAATGACTTCACTTTGGGGGAAAATTTACTGGATCGTAAGCAAAAATAAAAAGAGGCCAGCTCTCTGACAGCAGGTGATTGAGAAATCCATAGCCTGAATTAAGCACACCTTAGTCTTCAAGCTAACATCACTGCTCTTCAGTATTATGGAGAAGTCCCGACAGTGGACTTGTCCATTTGTAATACGTCTCCTGATTTCCTGAAGGCTGCTGACTGGTGACCCAGGCGAGATACTGGCAGCTTCAATCCTTTCTCCATGTATCATCATGTTCACTGTTGGTCTTGTGGTGAGGGCCTTTGTATTCCTTTTTTTTAAAATAATTTTAATGAACATTTACAGAGATTTTGGATTTCCATTCATTCATTGTTGCACTTTTCTTCCTGCCCAGCCCTCCCCCGCAGTTTGCTCCTCTCTTTGAAAAAGTAAAAGAAAAATTCTTTCTTTGGTATACAATCCCCCCGCACCCCTTCCACCACCCCAGGTACACTCCACTATGCACCCTTAATTCTGGACTCTTGTGATAACTATAATACCCTATCATATATCGCTTTTAAATTATTCTCTCCCTCATCTGTTTCAATGCAGTATTCTTAATTTATCCCATTTTTCTCAGTCTTACCCCAACCCTGATGTCAGTCCCATTCTACAACAGTGGCACCATGCAGTATT